AGAAAATGAGGGTCATCAGTTGTAGCTGAATGATAAAGTGAGTACTTTAGATGTATAAGGCCTTGTGTTAAACTCTAGTGATAAAACTAACAAGTAAATGAACATGAAACACAAGTAAGTGAGAACCATGTGCCTGAGAATGTGTGTACATGAGTTTAAGCACAAGCAGAAGACTGGGGTCAACATCTGATGTGATGTTTTCATCTATTTTTCTCTAACTCATTTTCTCTGACAGACTCTCTTAATGTCCATGGTGCTATTTATTTGGATGGATTAGTGCCACTGAGCACTGGGCACAATCTTGTCCTCAACATCACTTAGGTCCCAGGCATGTGAATTCTTGCTCGGCCTTCTTATGTGGCCACAAGGGATCACACTCAAGTGCTCATGTTTGCATAGCAACCACTCTGATGCTTGACACCTCTCCCCAGCTCCCGTGTCTCCCTCTTGACCATGCTCCTGTAAGCACTGCATTTATAGTCAGGGACAGAACTCTCTACCCATTGTGACAGCTCAGATGGGAAATGATATGGAAATAAACTGAGACTGAGCAGTGCAAAGTGTATGAGGGAAATATATTAGATGATATGGGTTGAGTTATGTGAGGCAGAGATGATCAGTGTGAGTTTCAAGGGAACTTCAAAGAAGCCTTCTGTGAAGAAGCCTGAGTAGAGTTTCATACAAACCTGTGATGACATGACACATCTAGGTATGGACCATGGTAGATCCAAGTGTCCTCCGGGTAGGGACATTCTCTTTCCAGAAGATAGAAGCATGGGAGAGGTCATCAATATTTAAGGATAATATTTCAGAAGCACAGAGAAGTAACTGGCAGGCACCCTTATAGTCCCTAGAAAGTCTCAGCAGACCCCTTCAGCAATAGTTTACCTTAATAAAAATGTCTGAAGTATCATTCTTGCTCCCTGTGGAAGTATGTGTTGAGAGCCTCTGTGACACCACATCAATTCCCTTTGTTTCATTGTCTCTCTCTGCTGCAGAGCCAACATGAGGAAGACCCCTCTAAAGACTTGTATGCCCAAGTGAAGCCCTCGAGACTCAGAAGGACAGAGATCACCTCTTCTTCTCTCATGCCAAAGGAATTATTGGCCTCAAATGACACACAGTCAAAAGCAAATCAAGTGATAGATGAGCAGGTGGGTCCCGACTTCTCTAGTGCCCCATGCTCCCGGTGCCCAACATAGACCTTCTTCTACACTTTCCCACTGCAGGCTGCTACAACAGGGGAGCCACATGATGTGACCTATGCCCAGCTGTGCATCGTGACCCCGAGACAGGGACATGTGAACCTCCCACCGTCCAGACAGAAAAGTCCAACCTGAGAACATACTCTGTCTTCTACCAATCCAGGGAGATCACACTCTGCATTCCATGAAGGAGGGAGGACTCAGGGATGTCAGAAAACAAGATCCGCCTCAGGTGCACAGCTATAGTGCAGACATGACCAGTCCCTAGGAAATCCTGAGAAATTTGGGGATCTGATTTGGTTGTTCCTTTGTTTTATAGATAAGGAAAATGCTTTTCAGTGACCAAAGCATAAAATGAGGAAAGAAGAAAGGAATGAAGAAAGTTTCATTTTTTTGTGTTCTTTGTTTTATTTAAATTTTTATTTTTGAGATTCTACTTTAGTTACAGCATTTTTCTCTTCCATTTCTTCCCTCCAGACATTTACATATATCCTTCTCCTCTCTCCTTCAAATTCAGGACCTCTTTTTTCATTGTTAACACAAGTACATATGAAGATGTATATAAAAAGTTTAGACATTTTACCCTGAATATATACCTTTTGTCAATTATATTTCAATAAAGCCAAGATTGAATGATGAAGTCACCTTAATATAATGTAGCATGAACCAGAATAGTTTAGAAGTCATCTGAACAAGCATGAGTAAGTGTCCTAAAAATTGAGGGGTTGAGCAGAAAGACCTAGTGTAAGAAATAAAGAAGTGAAAATCAATAGTTAGATGAGAGGTATTGCAAAAAGAGTTATGC